CTGTTTAAGAGATACTGAGGTCCTGGCTAGGGAGGTCCGTGGGTCCCCATGTGCGAGGGTTGTGGGTTCGATCCCGTCAGGGCTCACACAAAGAACCAATGGAAGCATAAGTAAATATGCTTCAACAGATCAGTGTTTCTCGCTTCCTCTCTCTCGAAAATCAGTAAACAAATTATTAAAAGAGACCCTGTGCACATAGGCACACATGTTCACACACATACACAGCCTGCTGGTCAGGCTCTCCCGTCCTCGACAACTTCAGGGGGAGCGCGCCTCCCTCCACTCCCACCCTTCCCAGCAGGCTCCTGGGTGGCGGCGTTTCCCCGGACATGGCTCGCTTGGGCGAATGATGCATTTCTCCTTTGCTCCTTAAGGGTGCTCATGGCTGGGACCCAGCTAGGGGATGGTCATGGGTTTTGTCGGCTTTCTGTTCTGTGGGGCCTGCCCTCCGGACAGAAAGAGGGTCCACACGGATGTGCGTCGTGTGTGACAGCACAGGGACAGGATGCCTGCACGGGCAGGAGGGCAGCTGCGCAGCAGCCGTGTCGTCAGCCTCCTTCCCTGGAGGAGGAGGGACTGGGTCCTTGAGCTAGCCAGCTCTTCTCCTTTGCTATACTTCTTTAAAAATCTTTAAGTAACAGTTTTACTGAGATCTTTTTGAGCTCATTCTCTCTGCAGCTCCCTCTCTGGGCAGCTTTCTCCTTTTAGAAATTGTCTTGCAATTTCTAGCGATTTTCTGGAACTCCAGTCTGACTCCTCAGCGCAATCTCCCACACCCCCCCCCCCCGCCACCCCCACGCTGGGGCCTGGAAAATGCCCTCAGGCAGGAGGCGGGCCACGGGCAGCTCCCTGTTTGTTTCCCGCCTTGGGTGGCAGGCTTTCTCTGCCCCACGTCCAGCGTCTGAAATAGTTGTGTCAGTCTTACCTGGTCAGGTTTTCTTACGGTTTAAGGCCAGAGGGCAAATCCGGCCACTGTTTCTCCATTCTTTCAAAACCCTATGTGGTTAGCAGCCGTGGCGCTTGTCTGTGCGGTGAGGAGATCTTTGCCGAAGGATGTGGGGCCAGGGGTTCGGAGTTGGCCGGCTGAGGGCAGAGCATTGCTCCTGGCAGTGGCTGGTGATGGCGGCCCGTGCTGGTGCGCAGCCTGAGTGTGACCTGAAGAACTCCTCCCATTGTTGGCCCTTCACTCACGAGTGACACTTTGGTCCCCCACAGCTCGGTCCACCCTGGCCATCGACTGGGACACGGAGACCCGGAGCCTGTATTACGATGAGCAGGAGTCTGAGGTAGGCCCGTTGGGGCCCGGGCGGCGGTGCAGGTTCTGCTCTGGCTGGGCATTGGGGTCGCTGTCAGCTCCGCGGCAGCTTCTGCTTCGGGCCGAGTGACAGCACCAGCGAGGCTCCATGACAGCTTGAGGCTGCAGCTGCCGGGAGGTCTCGTCTCCCCGCGGAACTCCCTGTGTCCCCACAGGCCTTCGAGAAGCACGTGAGCATGCTGCAGCCTCAGAAAAAGAAGAAGACCGCCATGGCCCTGCGGGACTGCATCGAGCTCTTCACCACCATGGAGACGCTTGGGGAGCACGACCCCTGGTAGGCCCCCGCCCGGCCTCTGGCACCGTGGGGCCAGCGGCGTCCACACAGCCCTTCGCATGTGCACGTCACTGACGTCGCCGACCCAGCGACACAGACCTTCCCCTGTAAGGGTTGTGTGTTCCAGACTGACAGAGCCATCCCCGTTGGGAAGGTGACTTAGAGCCGCTTGCTGCGGGCGGGAAGCGGGGTGGGCTGTGCCATGCCTCCAGGCGGCGCCCCGTGGCCTCGCTCCCTGCCTCCCCCCAATGGAGGTTTCCCTTTTCCCTTCAGGTACTGTCCCAGCTGTAAGAGGCATCAACAGGCCACGAAGAAGTTCGACCTGTGGTCCTTGCCCAAGATCCTGGTGGTGCACCTCAAACGCTTCTCCTACAGCCGGTACTGGAGGGACAAGCTCGACACGGTCGTGGAATTCCCGGTCAGGTGGGTCCCGGGACTCAGTGTCACTGGGACATTAAACAGGAGAGCTGGGCACTGATGGGCAGAGGGTGTGCCACCAAAGACTTGGCTGCAGGAGGGGGTGTGGCTGGGCTCTGGGAGGTTAGACTTCAGCTACTGCCCTCCCGTCGTCCCACAGGGCGAATGGGACTATTGGGGCTGCAGGGGGGGCCGCAGACCCACCACGCTCCTGTCCCAGGCCAGGGAGGGGGACTGGCTGTCTCCTCAGGTCCTCTCAGGTCCCAGAGTCCAGAGTGAGACTGACAGGAAAGTAAGACAACAAGATAGGATTCCACCACAAGAGGCAGTTTTTAAAATCTTTGGGGGTCGGAGGGGGTGGATAGGGACATGTATTTGCCCACATATAGGCGTGTCAATGGAAGAACTTAGGTGGTGAGCATTAAATATTTGTTGGAAAACTCCTAATTTGTCTGTATGTTTGACATTTCCAGAATGAGATATGGGGTAAAGCTTTATGGGGCCTGTTCCGGTTTAGCTTCAACATTTAAGGCTCCGCTGGTAGTTTCGAGAGTGGCCGCCGTCTCTGCATAGTCCTGCGGCCTGGTCTGGGCGAGAGCTTCGTCGCCATTTGGTTTGGGCTTGGGGCTCCCCGGGAGGCTTCTCTTTTGCAGCCTGAGCAGGTCAGCGGTCAGAACAGACCAGGCCTGTCCTGCGTGTCCATCCCTCTGCAGCAGGTGTTGGGGCGCCTCCCTGGGGCCTAGTCCGCTGCGTACGGGGGCTGCTGGGTCACCCTGACTTGCTCTGAATTTAAGGTCGTTAAGGCTGTTTTTGTGTTTTGTGCTTAGAGGTCTGAACATGTCCGAGTTTGTCTGTGACCCGTCGGCAAGGCCGTACGTGTATGACCTCATTGCCGTGTCCAATCATTATGGAGCCATGGGGGTTGGCCACTGTAAGTACCGGCATCCGTTCCCTCTAACATCGCCCAATGCCCTCTGCCTGTCAGCTCTCTCGAGCCCCTTCCTGCTGCCAGGCATGGCCTTTCAGCACTTGTGTTCCACAGCTCCATGGGCCTCAGGCCTTTTCCATACAGTTGCCCCTTCATTTGCAAAATTTTTTTGGTTTTCATATTTTTTAAAATATTTTTATTGCCGAAACCGGTTTGGCTCAGTGGATAGAGCGTCAGCCTGCGGACTCAAGGGTCCCAGGTTCGATTCTGGTCAAGGGCATGTTCCTGGGTTGCGGGCACATCCCCAGTGGGGGGTGTGCAGGAGGCAGCTGATCGATGTTTCTCTCTCATTGATGTTTCTGGCTCTCTATCCCTCTCCCTTCCTCTCTGTAAAAAGTCAATAAAATATTTTAAAAAAAGAAAAAACCAAAGGCAAAGAAACTGGGGTTGGGGAAGCCTCGGAGGAGACACACCAAGATGCTAATTTTACTTTTTCCTCCTTGCTCTGCGGTGTTTCCCAAAACTTCTGTGTGTGTGGGTTTGCGTTTTTAGCGAAAAGAGCTGGTCCATTTTCTACCCGTTTATGGAAAGGTGTTCGTAATGGGGAGGTGAGGAGCTGTGTTTCCTCCTACCCCTTTCCTGCCACCACAGCCAGTGAGGACCCCAGGAGATGACGCCATGGAGGCGCCAGTTCCATTTCAGCACTGTCATTTCTGGGAGTCTGGGTGGAGCAGGAACTGGGCATGGCTGTTGGCATTGCTGTTGTAAACACATCTGCTTAGAAATAGCACAAAATCAAGACAGGAAGTGTTGTCTGTGGGGGCTGCTGGATCACTGTGAGGAGCTGTTACCCAGCCACGGGCTCTTGACTCACAGCTGTCGAGAAAGATGGGTTGAAGTCTGTCCACATCCGAGCTCTGCCGACACCCCAGATGCCCACAGTGTCCCTCCCCGGGTCTGCCCACAGGCTTCAGAGGCAGAGGGCAGCAGTAGACATCCTGGGCATGGACAGGGGGTTCACCCTTTTTTAAAATTGTTTCCCAAAATTAAAGTGTTGGTTCTTGACAGCTCCATTTTTATCCTCTTCAAGCCCTTTTGAGCTTTTTAAAACGATTGAGTTATTTTTGGCTGTTAAGACACAAGCTGTAAATTACTTCTAGTGTCAGGGTCTGTATTTTTCATTGTTTGGAGTCTTGTTTAGTGCAAGCCTGGTCAGCTGGCCAGGTCAGCTCTCTGGTGGCGGCTAGAGCGTTTCCTTTTGGCTTGGCAGACACCGCGCACGCGAAAAACAAACTGAACGGGAAATGGTATTACTTTGACGACAGCAACGTGTCCCTGGCCTCCGAGGATCAGATAGTGGTGAGTGAGCCACAGTGCCTGCTTCCCCTGTGATTTTCATGTGCCCTAATCAGTGGTCCCATCTCTGGGAATCTGTCCTAAGGAAATGACATTGGGGAAAGCTTTATGCACAAAGATATTCATGTATTTATAACAATGAAAGATGTTATAACAATGGCAGATCCCTGAGTGCGAGCCCAACAGTGAGACAGAGACTGGGCAGAACGGGTGATTTTCCAGCCAGTAATGGACGTCTCCCCTCGTGTTTTAGACAAAAGCAGCTTACGTGCTGTTTTACCAACGTCGAGACGATGAGTTTCATACGACGCCTTCCCTCGCCGGCTTTCCTGGCTCCTCCGATGGAGGAACGCGACCCAGCAGCTCCCAGCAGGGCCTGGGGGAGGAGGCGGCCTGCAGCATGGACACCAACTGACCTGCCCCCCCCATGTAACCCCGGGACACCTTTGACCCCCCCTGAAGACTACTAGTGTTTGGTCTAAAAACCAGATGAGGAAATTCCCTTCTTTTATGAGCAGAAGAAAAAAAAGCCCTTTTGTTCAGAAGGGTTATGTCAAGAGGCTGAATTATTTTCCTTTTTAAGTCGGTGGTGAGATGGCCGTGGGACCTGTGAGCTGCGGTGGGGGGGGGGCGCAGGGCGGGGTGGATGGATCCCAAGGCGCCGCAGGCACAGCTGTCAGGAGGCTGCGGAGGCAGCTGCCCACCACTGGTCACCCCAGGAGTCCCCCCCAGCAAACACCCCCTCCCTGGGCTGGGTCTGTGTTCCAGCCATCGGTCATCTCGGCGTTTCCCCCAAGTGCAGGTGGTGGGGTCTCCTGCCCCTCAGTCTTCAGGGGAACCTCGCAGTGCTGTCCTGTTGCCGCCCCCTTCTCCCTGCGCCCCTGCTCCCTGCGCCCCTGAACTCCCGCACCCCTGAACTCCCGCACCGAGGGCCTTGGTGAGCGGTCACTCAAGTCCGCACAGACTGGGCCCTGCCCAGCGCCCGCCTCTGCCGGGGTCGGAGCGGAAGGCCGGCCTTCCTGGGAGGTGTCCGCTGGGAAAGAGCCCCCCATCTTGCTAAGAAGTGAGACCCCTGCCCTCGGCCTGGGCGCTCCGCTGGGGCCCCGGCCCGGCCCCTCCCACACGCTCCCAGCCCCCAACGCAGCCCGCAGCCCGCAGCCCGGAGCCCGGCAGGCGGCTTCTCTGCGGGCGGGCGGGACGGCACGGGCCGCTTGTCTGACCTTTCACCTGCGCCGCGGCGGTTGGGGCACGTGCGACGCCCGGGCGCTGACCGTTGGCGGGCGCGGCTGCAGGCGGTGAGGCGCTCCGCGGGGGGCGGGGGGCGGGGGGCGGGGGACGGTCAGCCGCGGGAGGGGGGTCCCCGCGGAGGAAAGGGGGGCCCCTGGGGCGGGGTCCCCTGCCCCCCCGGGCCGCAGGCGGGGACCCGGGGGCGGATGGGGCGGATGGGGCGGGCGGCCCGCGTGGTGGTTCGGGCCTCGCGGGGCCGTCCGGCCGCCCCGTTTCGTGTTGACGTAACGAACACGCGGTCGCTTCCAGGGAAAATGTCCGAGAAGCTGCGGCGCTGCCGGAAGGAGCTGACCGCGGCCATCGACCGGGCCTGGGAGGGCGTCCGGCTCGCCCAGCGGGGGGCCCTGCCGCTCCCGACGCCCGGGCTGTGCCGGCCGCACCCGCCGGCCGCTCCCTTCGCCCCCGAGAACGAGGGCCCGGCCCCGGCCCCCGGGAGCACCAAGCCGCCGGCCCCGTGCGCCCCGAGGAGGCCGCTGGCCAGCAAGGAGAACGTGCTGGGCGCCCCCGGCCCGGCCCCCGACCGGCCGCCCTGGAGCCCGGCGCCCGGGGAGAGCGGGCGCAGAGACGGCGCCAGGTGACCCCGCCACGGCCCCGGGAGCTCGGCCTGTTCCCCGGTCCCAGCCGCCTCCCGGTCCCAGCCCGCCTCCCGGCCTGGCCCCGAAATTGTGTGTGTGTGAGAGTGAGTGTGAATGTGTGTGTGAATGTGTGTGTGTGTGTGTGTGTGTGGATGTGAGTGTGTGTGAATGTGTGTGGATGTGAGTGTGTGTGTGTGTGAGAGTGAGTGAGAGTGAGTGTGAATGTGTGTGTGAATGTGTGTGTGTGTGTGTGTGGATGTGAGTGTGTGTGTGTGAGAGTGAGTGTGAGTGAGTGTGAATGTGTGTGAGTGTGTGAATATGAGTGTGGATGTGAGTGTGTGTGAGTGAGTGTGTGGATGTGAGTGTGTGTGTGGGGGTGTGAGTGTGTGTGTGTGTGAGTGTGAATATGAGTGTGAATGTGTGGATGTGAGAGTGAGTGTGAGTGTGTGAGTGTGAATATGAGTGTGAATGTGTGTGGATGTGAGTGTGAGTGTGTGAGTGTGAATGTGCGTGTGAATGTGAGTGTGTGTGGATGTGTGTGTTTGGGGTGAGGGGTGATGGAAGGCACTCGGCACAACCAGAGAAGTGAGTTCAAGATCCTGGTTTTCCAAGTCACATTACTTTTTCTTTCTTTTTTCCCCTTAAAATAAACTTTATTGTCGATGGTGTTACAGATGTCTCCCCTCCCCCCTCCCCCCATCCTCCCAGCGCCTACCCTCCCCCCACATTTTGTTATGCCGCAGAGAGAAAAACCTTCATCCTGAACCCTCGCCGCTGCTCCCCCCCCGTCCCCCTGCCCGCCCCGGTCACGCCGGAAGCCACCATCTTGGCTGCCGTGTGGGCAGAGAACGACGGAGCCATTCACTGGCTCAGCGCAAGTGGTTATCCCGGTTTCAGAGACACTGACCTTCGTGCGTGATGCCGTGGTCGGTGCCACTGACGTAGTAATTTCCCGTTGTCCTCCAGTCACAGCTTATGTGACAATAAACAGTTGCCAGTCCTTTTTTTTGTCTTAAACCTTCCCTAACACCCGTCAATATTTTATTGAAAGAGGCCCGGCCGGTGTGGCTCAGTGGTTGAGCATTGACCTATGAACCAGGAGGTCACGATTGGATTCCGGTCAGGGCACAGGCCGGGTTGTGGGCTGGATCCCCAGCTGGGGCGTGCAGGAGGCAGCTGATCCATGATTCTCATCACTGTGTCCCTCCCTCCCTCCCTCCCTCTCTGAAATCGATAAAAATACTTTTAAAAAAGGACATTAAAAAACACCAATAATATTTTTCTTGAAAGAGGCTCTAATTCCCCACCTTCTCTTTTCGCCCGGGAGCTGCAGGAAAGATCTGGAGAATGAGTTGAAGGTTGACTCCAATCTGCCTCTGGGCAGTTCTAGCCAAGAGGTCACCAAGGACCTGCTGGACATCATCGGTGAGTACGGGTCGCTCCGCTCGCCTCGAGCAGAGGCCCCCGCGGGCCGGCGATGGCGGGGGTCAGGCAAGACCACTCCTCCTCCGGGTACTCGGTGCATTGGCCTTGCTCCTGGCAGGCTCTGTGCAGAGACCTGCGTGGAGCTGACAGCCTGGGGAGCCGTTTCAGAAATGCCAGTCACAGTGCAGCCCCGAGGCCCCAGAACTTGGTGGTTGAGCTGAGATCTGCAGGAAACGGGACGCAGACAAAGGTGGGGGAGTCCAGCTGTGGTGGACACTCGTGATGAGATCGTAGCCCGGCTGGTGTGGCTCAGTTGGTTGAGTGTTGGCCCCTGTACCAGGAGGTCACTGGTTCCATTCCCAGTCAGGGCACAGGCCCAGATTTCGGGCTTGGTCCCCAGTAGGGGGTGTGCAGGAGACGGCCGATCAGTGATGTTTCTCTCTCTCCCTCACTTCCTCTCCCTCTAAAAAAAATCAATAAAAACATCAACTTAAAAAATCCCAAAGCTCCGCTCTAATTCCACCACCAAGAGATATTGACAGCGTGCTGTGCGTCTGGCAGACACTTTTCTGCACGTCTGTACGTTCTGTGGGTGAGCTGTGTGACCCCTGTTTCCATGACTCATTGCCCAGGACACACGGCTCCTACTTCAGGGATGCTTAGCCCTGGAGCTGTTGGCTCTTCAGGGAGGGGAGGGAGATGCCAGCGAGTGGGGGGAGACCCTGCCCCCCACTGCCTTAGGGCGCTGAGTCTCCTCTAGTCGCCCCGGAGGTGAGCTGAAGGCCTGGCTACCTCTGCTCACCCTGCAGGTCAGCGGTGTTGTACCCCACTCTCTCCACATGCCTGAGAGCCGGGACACACATGTGCACCCCTGTATTCTCCTGCCCACAACTTCCTTGGGGGCTGCGGATAGCTGGGCACTTGAAGAGCAGAGCCAGAAAGGGGGGCACTGAGCCCCCTTAAGGTTTGGCCCGGGCTCTGGCAGCCAGCCTGCCCCCGCGGACATGCCCGCCTTGTGCAAACCCAGCTGAGCAGCCACATGTGTTCACTTTGCCTTCGGAGGCCTCCCTGGAGCGTAACACTGAGTGTCCTTGTTTCCAAGACAACACCAGCATCCGGACCATTGAAGAGCTGGCCGGGAAACTGGAATTTGAAAACGAGCTGAACCGCGTGTGTGACTCCTGCGGAGACTCCCCCTTCACGGAGGAGGCCTGGGCGCTGCTCATGGACGAGAGCCCGCAGAAGGCGGTGGAGGCCGACCCCGGCAGCCTCCGGCGGGCCTTCGACGACCACAGCGTGGTCCAGACGGTCCTGGACCTGGAGGAGGACTACCACCTGATGGGCTCTTTCAAATACCACATGGAGTGAGGGGCGCCCGCCCGGTGCCTCCCGGGAGGCGGAGGCGGATGCCCGCGCAGTCACGTTTCTCAGAGGGTTGGCCGAATCTGCCGCCCGCCCCCCCTTAACTTCCAGTTCCCTTTCGGAGCTGGGAGCCCAGCTTTGTTTTCATTTGCTTTGTTTCGTTTTCCTGTTGCTTTGAAATAGTTCTGACTGTTCCTTGTCTTCACTTGCACCTGTTTCTTTGGTTGATGGTCAATATACCTGGTGCTCAAGGCAGGTGTGGGCTGTGGCATCTGCTGTGTCTCTTGGTGTTCTTTCCCATGAGCCCCTGCAGCCACAGCCAGTGAGCTTGGTGGACCCTGGTGGAGGCCCTCCTCATCTCTAGACCAGCCTTCCCTCGATCCCCAGCCCTGCCCTCAAAGGGGCTGGGAGCGTCCCTGGTCCCCTCTTGACAGGGCATTCTCATGAGGCCTCCCCGCCACCCCCACTTCAGACACCTGGGCCCTAGCTGGTGGGTGGGGAGGGAGAGGTGCACACAGGTGCCTCCCATCCACCTTCATGCCTGGACCTCATCCATGCCCCTCCAGGCCTGGGGACCCTGAGGCCACGGTGGGGCAATGGCCCTGTTTGGTCAAGGTGGGCAAGGAGGGAGGGAGGCCAGGACACTGCCCCCGAGGTCAGCACAGCCCCAGAGCTTAGCAGGGCTGGCTCCATACACCCTGGAAAGAAAGGGCCTCATCAGAAATTATTTAGGCAAATCTCAAAAGCATGGTGTTCCTTCAGGAACCTAATGACTGGGCAAGGCCTGAGCCTCTCAGAAACAGTGGCAGGTAAGTGCCTCCTGGGCTCAGGCGGGGGTTGGGGGAGGAGGCTGCCCAACAGACCAGAGAGCCAAGCAGGAGGCCCAGGGGACCACTCCCCAGACATTTAGAGGCCACGGACCTCACCCCTGCGTTAGGTCTGGTGACTCCTCCGGGCTCAGGGATTGGAGGGGGAGACCAGGCACCCGCTCCTTAGCGGATTGGCTCGATGGTGCGCCTGCCTGCACCCCGAGAGCCCTGGCCACCCTGGGGCACAGCCGCCGCCGCCCACCCAGGCAGAGGGCAGGCCAAGGACCGACCCGGCAGTGAGCTCCCAGCCTGTGGGGTTGGTGGCCAGTTACTTCTGGCCTTGGCCGCCGCGTACAGGAGGCGGCGGCTGCACGGAGAGGCCGGGCCCGGGGTAGTCAGTAGCCCAGGTCACCACGGTGCATCCCGCTGCCCCCACCCCGCCGGAGGGAGCTGGACGCCCCGCCGGAGGGAGCTGGACGGAGGGCGAAGGAGGAACGGGCCTGTAGGCGAGCAGCCTGCGTCCTGCGGGGCCACCCACCCTGCGGTGTGACGAGGAGGCGCCCTGCCTTGGGCCCCCTGATCAAAGCTCACCTCTGCGGGGGCCCAGCCTGGCCCGGGGAGATGCTGTGCGGGGCCCCTGGCCGGGACTCACCATCATGACAAACGGGCCAGCGGAGAGCGGCCAAGGAGAGGAGGCAGTGGCCGCCGGAGCAGGAGGGGGAAGCTGGTGCAACCCAGGCGAGGCGGGTTGGTCCTGTTCATGCATCTGTTAGGCTCTTAGTTTGCCGAATCTGCCAGTGAGATGAGGCGTTCACTTTGGGGGGCTGGGAGAGGGGCACGTATAAACTCACTGTGTTTACAGCTTTCCTGCAAACCTCCCTGCTCTAAAATGTACAATGTGTTACTTTTTTTAAATGCAGTTGATCCCGTTTGTGAAAACGTATGAGCACATGTGCAGAGCATTGTCAGGGAGGGGCGGAGGGGTTCAGTTTCCCCTCTTCCTGTGTTTTCTAACCTATTGCCATGGGCATGTATCACTTCTGTAGAAAGAAGGAATTATATCTCTGCCAACCAGCCATGGACTCCCTCACCAGGCACCTGCCCGAACTGCCGTTCGCCGTGCCCAGCGGTGGGCAGAGGCCAGGCCGGCAGCAGACTCAGCAGGGCCTCCTGGGGGTCCCTTTCCTGCGGGCGGGTCAGAGCTGCTTCTCAACTCAATTCCCGTCCCGGGGTGGCGGGGGCGGCTGCCGGGAATGGCAGGGCCCTCACCCTGGAAGACCAAAACGGGGGGCTTCCTGACTGGGTGGAGGCGGTTGCCGGGGGACAAGGGTAGAGCGTGGGGCAGGCTGGGGTGGGCAGAGGGGCTCCCTGGCGGCCCACAGATGTACCTCTGTGGCGAGCCGGCACGGCCATGGCATACTCGGCCCCAGGGCGCCTTATGTGCGCGCCAGCTCAGCCTGGTTCAGTGACCCTGAGTGGGGGGGTGAAAGGCTCAGAAAAGACAGGCAAGGGAATGAAAGCTGGGTCTGGGTGGGACGCTGCTCCCTGATGAGGAGACAGCGCCGGCGCCCACAAGCCGTGTCTTTATTTTATAGCAGATGCCACGAGGCAAAGTAGGGGCGTGAGCACGTTGTTTCCAGCATTCTCGTGGGTTTCAACCTCACTCAACTACATGCACCTGAACTCCATCACAAGGCACTGGGGCCCCATGTTCGGACCATAGGCTCAAGCTCACAGCTACGGCCGTTGGCTATGACTGTGCTGGGAGGGCTCTGCCCTCGAGCTGGGACTTGCACGTGGCAACGAGAGGACTGTGCCCTCTCATCAGTCCGAGGCTTGAACCTGTCCAAACACTAACCGCGCCCCATATACCTCTGTTAGTTTTTTGTTGTGTTTGTGTTTTGTGTGTGTGTGTGTTTTTTTTTAATATATTGATTTTTTACAGAGAGGAAGGGAGAGGGATAGAGAGTTAGAAACATCAATGAGAGAGAAGCATCGATCAGCTGCCTCCTGCACAGCCCCCACTGGGGATGTGCCTGCAACCCAGGTACATGCCCTTGACCGGAATCGAACCTGGGACCCTTCAGTCCCCAGGCCGACGCTCTATCCACTGAGCCAAACCAGCCAGGGCTTGTGTTTTGTTTAGTTTAGAAAGCTGGCAGTTTTCATGGCCCCGATGGAACTCCTTTCCTGGGAACTAAATTGTTCCTTCCCACCACCAGCCCTCCATCAACCTGACTGCACCAGGAGCACCCTGGCCTCGGTTATTGGGCCAGTGGGCTTGTTTTTGTTTTAAAGGTATGTCTATTGAGTTCAGAGAGGAAGAGAGGGAGGGGGAGGGGGAGTGGGAGGGGGAGAGGAACATCAATGCTGAGAGAGAAGCATTGACAGGCTGCCTCCTGCACGCCTCCCACTGGGGATGGAGCCACCACCCGGGCCTGTGCCCTGCCCTGACCGGGAACTGAGCCGTGACCTCCTGGCTCTGGTTGACGCTGAGCCCCTCGCGCCGGGCAATGGTCTGTTTGTGGAAATTCCCATTCACTGCAGGGGCCGTGCTCCTGGAACCCTGGCACTCGGAGCTTCCTCTGTAGACACAGCTGTTCTGGGAACTGCCCCTCGGGCCGCAAGCTGGTCACTCCCCTGCCACCTGCCCCTCAGCACCGGCTCCCCAGGGGCCCGAGGAGGCCTTCCTGCCTGGGCACCGCTTCCTGCAGCGGGCAGGTGTGCTCCCCGGCAGGTGGGGGTCTCGGGGGCTCCCTGGAGGGGACAGGAGCCGGAACATTGGTTGTCATACAACTCCCTCCCCAGGCGGCGGAGCTGGGCCCAGAGCCGGCTCGGGAGGAACAGACTGAGGAACGCGGGGTGGCGTCTCCCTGTCCCCCCAGTTCCTCTGGGCGAGCCAGGCAATCGCGGGCTGTTTCTGTGGAAACACTGGCTGCGCTGGGATTAGCAGGACCAAAATGGAAACACACAGCTTCGAGAACAAATAAGAGCTCTGGAGCCTGCTCTCCGCACACGGGAACTCCAGGCAGTCAGGGCTTGGCTGCCCGGCTGCCCTCGGAGCGGCTCCCCTCCCCTGGCCGCCTCCCCACGGTCAATGCTGAAGCCACTGGGACCACTGGCAGGCTCTGTCCCCGCACTCAGGGCAGGAGCTGGTCTTAGAAGCTCCTGGGGCAGCTGGGGGCTGAGGGGCAGCTGAGGAAGAAGGGATAGAGAAAGGAGAGGCCGAAACCGGTTTGGCTCAGTGGATAGAGCGTCGGCCTGCGGACTGAAGGTTCCCGGGTTCGATTCCGGTCAAGGGCATGTACCTGGGTTGTGGGCACATCCCCAGTGGGGGGTGTGCAGGAGGCAGCTGATCGATGTTTCTCTCTCATCGATGTTTCTAACTCTCTATCTCTCTCCCTTCCTCTCTGTAAAAAATCAATAAAATATATTTTTTAAAAAAAGAGAGAAAAAGGAGAGATCCCGGCCGGGTGGCACAGTGGTTGAGCGTCGACCTATGAACCAGGAGGTCACAGTTCGATTCCCAGTCGGGGCACATGCCCGGGTTGTGGGCTCAATCCCCAGTGTGAGGTATGCAGGAGGCAGCCAATCCATGATTCTCATCATTGATATTTCTCTCTCCCGCTCCCTTCCTCTCTGAAATCAATAAAAATATATTAATTTTTTAAAAAGGAGAGAGATGAGTGAATGGCCAAGTGGAGGTCACAGCTGAGGCCTGAGAGAGAGCCAGGATTCTTTCAAAGGCCAGTTCCAGGTTGGCCGTGGGCTGGACACGGAGACCCTGGCCCCAGTGCAGCCGGATCTCCATGTTCCACTTCCCTCGCTGTCGGTGTCTAGCCACGTGGGTCTGGACCAGAGTCTGAACTCTCGCCAGGTGGCCCCGGGGCCACTCTGCTCAGTGGGTCTGCCTCTGTGTGGCTCCAGCCAGCAAATTGGGCTCAGAGGCCTGCTTCTCATCGCTGGGCCCAGGGTCCCTCCTGCCTCCTGCTCCCTCACCTCCTGGCCTCCGCTCTGGCTCCTCAGCCCCAGACCCTCCACCTCAATCCCAGGGACATATCCAAAGGGGTCAGGGGACCAGGGGGAAGGTGACAGACCACCTGGGGCCGTGCCCTGCCCCGCACCCAGGAACCCACCTGCCACTGGGGGCGTTTTGAGTTGTTAATGATCAAAGCAGCAGATGAAAAGGCCTAGAGGCCCAGTCCAAGCCAGTCTCTGACGGAAGCAGCAGGAGGCGTGCGGACGAGGAGGGGCCCTGCGCCTGGGTCGGTCCCGGAGAGGCCGTCCGCCGCGGGCAGCCTGGCTCTGCCCCGCAGGTTGCTTTCCCCCTGGACTGTGGAGGAGAACACTCAGATCTTGGTTCCAGCTAAATATTTACAGCGGGAACAGTGTTTTACGCGGGAAACCTACTTGTCAATATGGATCCTGGCCCTGGGGCGCTGTGGCAGCCAGCTGGGGAAGG